TTTTTTTTTTTTTTTTTGTTATTTTTAAGGAAGAGTCTACAGGATGTTCAGGGTCTCACTACTAGATCGGACTCATAGTGACCTGCTGGTTTACAGTCTCCCAAGAGCTGGGATTACAGGCGTGTGCTGTCTCAATAGCCATCTCAGTGCGCCCTGGGGGCAGGGCCAGCACAGCAGGCCCAGGGATCCAACCCTGGCCCCTGTGCCTGCTTGCAGGCGCTTTATTCTGAGCTATTTGGCTGGCCCTCATTTATTTATTTATTTATTTATTTATTTATTTATTTATTTATTTGCGGTACCGGGGATTGAACTCAGGACCTTGAGCTTGCCAGGCAAGCACCTATTTTACTGAGCTATCTCCCTGGCCCCTCCTCTCTGGTTTTTTGTTTTAGTCCAAGAACTTTGTATTTACACTCCCAGAGATAAAGTCATTGGAATCACATCAAGTTAATTTTAATCTACCACTTTTAGTAAAACCCATGGCAAGAATAAAGACACTAAGGCATATTTGTAGCTTTGGGGAGCCAAAGGATCCTAAGTCCAGCCATGGTGATGGCTATCTGGAGCAATGGCCTTGACCCTGGACTCACCTGGGCTTTATCTATTTATGAAGGAGGAGTGGCTTGAGGATGAGTGACTGAGAATGGGAAGAAGTAGGTGAGTGTTGTGAGCTGGGCTAGGTAGGAAGCCTGCATTTACCATTGTGATATGCAGAGAGAAGGATGTGCAGAGAGTAATCTGCATTACACGACTGAGACAGTGTCTAATGTTTTGGGGTTGGTGCTTCAGCTCTGATGTTTAATCTTTCAAGCCCCAGGAAGTCATAGTCTCTATCTGGAAGCTGATTCTAGCTGACAGTGTGGAGCACTGGCTCTTTGTTCCTTTTCCTCCGGGCTCACATTAAAGAGCAGCAGGTGGGGGGTTCCAGGAAAATACATTTGCTGATTTCTAAGACTACCACCAGCACCTTGGCTAGATCCATTATGTACTGTTTAAAGCCAAATGATAAGGAAAAGTCCTAGCCAGCTCTGTACATATCAATACATGGAAACAGGGTCAGGCACAGCCAAAATGGAGACAACTGCTCTTCTTTCAAGGAGCGTTGCCCAGGCGGTCCTCCACACCTACAGCCTCCCACTGTGGGGACCTGGTAGCTTGCCTGTCTCTTGCCTTTCCATACCAGGTCAGTTCGGGACTCTAGAACCACACATGTACAGGAAGGGAAGGCTGATTCCAGGAAGCCAGGGAGGGAAGGAGCACCATGTCTTACCTTTGAACCTGTCATCAGAGTCGCTCTCACTCTCACTGTTCTCATCTAGAAAAGTAACAGTAGGAATGAGTCTCCCTGCAGCCATGTTCCTGGGGTACCCTCCCAGCTTTTCTCAGCTACAGCAGTGACACCGTTTGCAGGCTGCTGTAATAGGCCCAAGGGCAGGTGACTATCGACTATCAGAAGAAGATAAGGGGCCTGGGTCCAGGGGCCCTCAGAGCTCAGCCTGTGGATGCTTAATCTACACAAACCCCTATGGTGGCCTGATTTGATAAGAGCCCAAGTTGGCAGCTGAGTGAACAGAGAGGCCTACGGGCCTAGAACTTTAGGGCTTTGCCTCCAGCAGGCCAAGACTGAAATGGAAAACAGACTGTAAAACTCAGTAACTCTGGCTTTTCTCTTGCCAAAAGCAGATTTCCACACCTACCCCCTACACGCTGGGCCTCACAGCCCAAAGCCTGAGGGAACCCACCCCAGGGCTGATTCCCCTCGGACCCTCCCTTGTATATATCACTATTTTCTGGCAGGGTTCTACTGTTCTAGAAGGACCCCAGGACTGGCTGGTAGAAGGGTAAACTGAGGCCAGCCCTGCTTCTCCCCACTCCTAATGCCCAAGGGCCCCAGATGACTGACCCAGTTCGGGTGTCAAGGCCTACCTCTCAGGGATGCTGTCTCAAGGCTGGACATAGACAGCTTTTTTAATCTCTTCTTTCCCCTCTTGGCATTGTAGATGGAGTTAATTCTTTGGACAAGCTGGGTAAGAAAAGCAGGGAAGGTGAGGTGACCCTAACACCAGCTTCCCCTACTTCTAAGAAGGTGGATTGGGAGCCCATCCTTTCCCTTAGCTTTCTGCACTCCATCCACTGGGCCCCACCTGGTCTCCCTTCTGAAGTGAATTCAAGTAGAGGCTTACCAGCCATCTGTCCTGTCCCCTAGGAGTAGTCCCCTGCTGTAAGGTGAGGACACTAAACTTAGCTCCCTAGAGGAAGGAACTGTGATCAAACTAGACAGGATGGGAGCTTCTGGGTCCCAAGAGTCACTGAACCAACTGAGACAAAGAGCTGTTCAGAGGCAAAAACAGGAACAAGGATTCTAGCCTTTCCCCTCTGGGCCATAACCTGGGCCCCCGACAGGAAGAAGCTAAATTCCCAATATACCCAAGTATTGTTTGCAGGCTAAAAATACCATTTGGCTAAGTCCTGCTGCTTTTGGTGGGGACTTGGGCCTGAATGCCATGTGTGGGAATCATTGCGAAAAACTCTTCCATTTCAAGAGTGATAGAAAGAAAGGCTGATGTTAGAAGCCTAAGGTCCCTGAAAGTCTAGAAATGTTTATGGGCACAAGAGACCCAACACTTACCCATCACACTCAGTAACAGGAAGTCAGCTAGACTTTCCCTTCTGTAACACCTGAGCACCAAAGAGCAGCTCATGCATTCGCACAGGTAACCAAAACGAGGCCCAAGTATAGACCCAGAATTTAGTGAAAGAGGACTGAGGAAGGAGCCCAGATGAGGGAGGAAGAAACGCAGAGAAGCGCTGGTGCCCGCCACTGGCCCATCTGGCCAGCCCCTGGGCTCTGTGTGAGGAGGATACCTTGGGAACGCGGCGGGCCCGGCGGCTGGACAGCAGCTCACTTGCAGTGCTGAGGCTGTCCTCGTTGAGGCTGGAGGGTGAAGACGGCAGACTCAGCTGGGCCAGCAGCAGCATGTCATCATGGCTGTGCCTCTTGGGCAGACGTGGCAGCCGGTGGCTCTTCCTTTCAGACCAGTTCCCACCGCGTAGGGTCTGGCTGCTGGGTTTCAGGGAAAGCTGGCATGGGGGACAGGACATGGGAGAGGGGCTCACCACGAATGCCCTGGCCTGTACCCATTTGGTGGGACTTGGGCAAGGAAGCCAGATCTGGATCCTCGGCTCCCCTCAATCTATCCTGCAGTTTTCATTCACCAGGGCTGCTGCTTGAGTCAGGGCTAGATAAATACTTCCCAAAAGGAAGATGTACTGGTTCTACCAGGAAAAAAATACAAAAGAAGGAGAAGAAAGAGAAGAGGCTAAGGATAGCGCACTGTCATCTGAGCAGCAAGAGAAGGGAAGGCAGGAATTCTCCAGGTGCCATCTGAGCTTCGGGACAAGGATTACTGAGCCCGGACGGTGGAGCCTGCTCCCTCACCTCCCCAGGGGTCACTCCTGAGCCGCCTCTGCCACCTGAGGCCAGCACCTGCATGCAGCCTGCTCTACTGCGTGACCCCATCAGCTCCCTTCTGCCAGGGACAGCACACGAGCTCTGGCCGCCAATTCTAGGCATAACATGGCTCAGACTCAACGGGCTCACTCACCATGCCCTGAGCTGTCCCTTGCTCCAGCCCTGATCTGTTTCTCTGCTTCCCTCCATCTACACTGAGGCCTTTAGGTATGGGGCTCCGTTCCAACAGTAGGACCTGCACACTTCTGGAAGGCGGGTGCCCCAAGGAACCCGCACACACCGCCCCAATCTGGAACTGGCTCTCATTCTTCAGCACATCCTCCTTCCTCTCCATGGCCCCCAGTTTCCTCTCTGCATCCAATTGTTATAGACAGCTAAGTTAGGTAAAAATAGTACAGGCAAAGGAGTCAGTGCAAAAGGCAGGGTACACTGCAACTGTGGGGGAGACACAGACACAGATGTTGGGGGCCAGATTTCAAGATAAACGATGAAATGAATGCACCCACATACTTCCCTTAAACAATAGTGACTGATATTCGAAATAGGTATCAATCACTTAGAGAAAGCCTGGAGGAGCCACTGGCCCATCCTTTCAGGAAAAGTCCCTGTTCTGTTTCACACCCCCTCGCTATGTGACTGGCTTCCCCATTTGACCCGTTTAACCAACATTACCTGAGCAACTATGCTTCTAATCTTATTGGTTGACCAAAGCTTTGTCCCACCTCACACTCACCTTACAGTTTCCCATTTTTCTCCACCTTGAACCCACCTCACCTCATGGTTTTGCTCTATAAAAATCTCTTGAAAAGCAAGATCCTTGGTAACTGCTTGGAACCCCTCTTGTCTCTCCCAGACAGAAGCTTTCTTTCCCCCAATAAACAGATTCTGCTCTTAACCTCCATTGTTCTTAAAATTCATTCTTTGATTTTAGAGAACATGAACTGGTACTGGACCTCTAGCAGGTGGGGTCCTCTATATCACTTCCTGATTCTCCTGCTTCCTGTCACCCTGGCAAGATCAGAATGAGATTATATTGAACACTTTCCTTTTCCTTTCATTCTGACATGCTCCAGTGCATTCCTCAAACACTTATTCTGACTTCCTCTACTAAGAAAGGATTGAGATATATCACCTGGCTCTCCAAATTGGGTTTGGGGACCTTTATCTGTTCAGAGTTGCAGGATACCACGACTCCCACCAGGGCTGTGTCTTCCTGTTTCTTGCAGGAAGGGAGGAGGAAGGTAAGACAACAGACTGTGTGGGCTCCTGGCTCAGTTTTGTAGCACAGAGTACAGGTGGTGCGAAAAAGAAGGCAGGATAGGACAGCCCTCAGAGCAAATCTCAACAGACCACAGGGGTTTATTTCAACACGGTGTGAGCTCTGTATACAAAGCTCTTGCCTGAGCTAGTGAGTGCAAAAGTCTGAGTGAAAGCTGGGTCCGCCCCTTGAGAGGACAGGCTCCCACCGTGGCCCTCCTGCTCACGATGAGGCTGCATTACCTGCATAGGGGGGTTGTTGTACTTCCGGTCCTGAGGACTCCACATCCTGTGCAGAGAATCCAAGGAGTTCTCAGACAGCTGAGGAGGTTTACGTCCGGCTCTTCGGCTCTTTAAGTCCACATCCTCATATGGATTCTCCTTGGGCAGCTCTCCTGAAGAGAAGGAAAAGTTAGAGAGGGATGAGAAGGAAAGAAGGAAACACACACACACACACACACACACACACACACACACACACACAAAATTCCTGTCAACCAAAGAATGGCTTTTGCCTGGCCCCTGCAGCTCATGAGTCATGCAGCTGCCTGTCTGCAGTGGGGAGGCTCTAAACAGATCCTGGCTCCAAGTGCAGAAGCTAAGCGTCACCCCCTTCCTGCACCCCGCACCCTCCAGCTCCAGTTCAACTCAACTTGTCAGGCTTCTGCTTTATAAATTCAGGGATTGTACAACACTGGCTAAGCTACCCCTGCCTGTGCCCAGTCAGAGGACAGAGCCAGCCCCAGGACTCTGTCCTCAGCTCCAGCTCTACCATAACAGCCCCTTAGTGAGACACCGAGAGAGGCTTTCAGGGGTCACACACACATGTCCCTTTATGCAACTCACAGTGAGTCACCCAGGGACCCAGTTTCAGGGGTGGGCATAGTACGCAAAGAACTCTAGAGAGCAGAGCTTTGGTAAGCCTCTGTCTCACCTATTACACCATTCAACAAGTCTTTAGGTCAAGAATATTGTCGGAGGCAACCTCAAATCCAGGACAGTGATTATGAAGTAGTCAGCATTCTGTAATTATTTGCTCAATGATGGCTCTTAACATAGTGTTGGTTTACTTCCTCCGCCGCTGACCTCAGAAAGAACCATCGCTCTCCTTTGCCACAAACTCTCCTGCTGGGACACAGGGGGTTGTGAAAGCTTAAAAAGAGTCTGCACCAAAGAGTGGGGGTGGAGAAGTTCTTGCTTTTCAGAATGAGGTTCTAAAATCCCTGGCAATGAGCATTATTTATATTGGTACTAGCAGAAATATCTCAGAAAAGTCCAAAATACACCGCTTGCCTCGAAGACCACAAGATTTTGAGAGGTATCCTTTCTCATAAGCTATACTCTCCTGCTCCTGCTCCTCAATTCAAAACTGGACTCCTAAACTGCAATAAACAGCACCAGGAGTCACATCAGTGCTGGTTTAACCCCAGGAGTAGAATCACAGTGGCAACAAGGTTCACAGGGGCTTGGAGAAAATGCAACCCTCACTCTCCTTGTCTTTCTGTTTCCTTCTGCCCTCTGACCCCTCAGTCCCCATGCCACTCTCCAGAACTTGGGACCTAGGTATGGTGTCTAGGATGAGGCTTCTTCTCACCAGTCCATCAGCAGCAGGGTTAGCTCGTATGACCACGGAGCCCTACGCCTGGCCCACCGAGGCCTAATGTGCTGCTCATGCCTCAAAGCAGCTCAGCCCCATCCTCAGGAGCAGACAGCAACATCACAGCACTGAAAACTGCTGGGACTGCAAGCTTGTCTAGATAAGGGGGGGATAGGACTCTTCCTATGTGCTTACGGATTCCTCAAAAGGCTGAGGGTCCCCCAAACTGGAGCATACACTTACCACTATCAGGAAAACCACAATGATTTTGGGAAATTCCTTTACAGAGGTAGGGTGGGGCAAAGGGAAGATTTCAGTTTCAACTAAATAGACTGCAGTGGGAGCAACACAAATCTCTGTAAACGTATGAGTCAGGATTCGGTCCAGAAAAGATTTGGGGCTGGATTAAGTGATTCCCAACACCAAGCAGAGCCCCCAGCGTGGAGCAGATCTTTTCCTGTAATACAGTCATGCTATTAAAATGACTTGTCTTCATTCCAGGGCCCTGACTAAGCACAACCAGCCAGCAGTCCTGCTTTGAGAAACCAAATATTGAACCCTAAATGCTTTCTCCAGCTCCCCAAAAAACACAAATACTGCAGGGGTGAGGTGCTAAAGAAGATGAAGAGTGGATGAGGGCCACACACATTCCTGACCTTGTAACACAAGGCCAGAGCACCACTGCCCAGACCTGGGCAGAGAGAACATTTATTCCAAGCTCATCAAGACCAAACCGTCTTGGGCTGGATGTCCAACAAGAATGAAAGAGCCCTAGCCTATAGGACGCTACTGACGTTCTAGGTTGGTAGGATGATTAGCAGCAAACCACTGCCTCTGTCCACTGGCTGACACCAGCATCTCTCAGTGATAACAATCACAAATGTCCCCAGACACTGTCAATACCATCCCACCCTCACAGAGGGATAAATGGCTAAACTGAAATGAGGGAGGAAAGGATGAACAGACCTCCACTGAGAACCACAGAGTCTTACTCTGTAGTTCAGGCGGGCCTTGAACTCATTATGTAGCCCAGGTTGGCTTCGAACTCTTAGGGATCCTCTTGCCTCAGCCTCCTGAGTGCTGGGATTACAGGTTTGCACCACCACGCAGCAAAGGAATGACTATATGTATTTCTAAACTTCCTAAAATATTCTGCATGCCTGTATGTGTGTTACTGGAAATTGAACCTCCAGCCTTCCTTGATCTTTTTTTTTTTTTTTTTTTTTTTTGAGACACGGCATCACTAAATCACTAAATTGACAATGCTAGGCTCAAACTTGCAATTCTCCTGCCTCACTCTCAGAGTGCTGGGATTAAAGGCTTATGTCTGGAAATCCTAAAGACGTAGGGGTAGGCAGAAAGTTCATGAACAAAAACCAAACTGCACAGGAAATACTTCAAAGAATCAACAACTGGGATTCATCTTATTGAAATGTTTTTTGCACATCAAAAGAAATCACCAACGGAGTACAAAGAAATTCACAATTGGGGATAAAAGTAGCTAACTGTCTCTTAGACAAAGGCCTTCTATCAAGAACACATACAGAATTTAAAAAAAAAAAATCAGGCCTCTAAAATTCAAATACCTAATCAAAATATGGGCATTTGAGATGAATATACACTTCTCAGATGAAGAAATACAAGTGGCAAACAAATGTATGAAAAATGTTAAATAGCATTGGTCATCCTAGAAATGCACCCATCCCACCCCAGAAAGAATGGCCACTGGCCAGGGGCTTAAGCGCCTGCCTGTCAAGCGCAATGTCCTAAGTTCGATCCCTGGTACAAAAAAAAAAAAAAAAAAAAGAAAAAGAAAAAGAAAGAAAGAAATCAAACCACAACAAATTCTGGTGAGGCTATGCTGGAAGGGCTGTGGGGAAAGAGGAACCCTTCTCCACTGTTGGTTAGAGTACAGTCTAGTACAACCACCATGGAAATCAGTGTAGAGAGTCCTCAAAAAACTATGATTACAGGTCCCATTCAACCCAGCTATTCCCTTTTGGGTTATCTTCCCAGAAGAATTAAAAACATCGTACCACAGCAATATATTTACACCCATGTTCATAGTAGCACAATTTGTCATAGCTAAATCTTAGAAACAACTCAAATGCCCATCAACTGAGGAATGGATAAAAAACACATGGTTTTATACAATGGGATATTATTCAGCTATAAAATGGAATATTACTCAGCTATAAAAAAGATAAATTCAAGGTTGTAAATGTACACAACTAGAGACTGTACTCGTAAGTGAAATAAATCAGACCCTTGTGTGTAAACATCATACTGTGTATCTAATGTAAGGACTTAAAAGAGTAAATAGAATCTGAAAGGCACAACAGATACTGTGACAGGAAAAGAAACTGTTCAAAGGAAGGAACAACTGGGATGAGGGAACAGAGAAAATAAAGAGGGGAGAAAAGAAAAAATATATATATATATACACAGGATAGCTTAGATACTTGCACTGATAATTTCTACTGGTCTATTGGAAGGAACAGTTAATGTTCATTTTTTTCTTTTTAATTTTTTGACCAATTTTACATGCTTATAACTGGCAATCTGAACAAATAATCTGAAGACAACAATATGCAATTCCTATCATTTTGTTTAGTGAAATACTGCATTTTTAAATAATTTTTATTCTCTTTAAAAACTAAAAAAAATAAATTTTCAGCCAATAAAGTCAATTAAAGAGTTTATTATTATTATTTTTAGTTAATTAATTATGTGGTGCAAGGTCTCGCTACACAGCTTGGACTCAGTGATCCCTGTCTTCAGCCTCCCCAGTGCTGGAATTACAGGCATGTACCACCACAGTTTTAAAGAGTTGTTTTTGTGTTTTGTTTTATTTTTTTAAAGGCCTATGCCTTGAACCAGAAATGGTGGTACATGCCTGTAATCCCAGCACTTGGGAGGCTGAGGCAGGAGGATCCCTGCAAGTTTGAGACCAGCCTGGGGGCTACAGAGTGAGCACAGGGCCAGACCAAACTGCATAGTAAGACTTGGTCTCAAGAAAAAAAAAAAAAAAAAAAAAAAAGGCCTATGCCAGCATATCTGGCTTTAACAGTTTTTGAACACTATACAGTGAGTTCCAAGTTTAACCCTCTTTTCTTCCTCTCCTCTCTTCTCCTCTCTTCTCTTCTTTCCTTCCTTCTCTTCCCAGAATTATTTATTTATTTGGTACAGGGTCTCACTATGCAGCTTGGACTAACAGTGATCCTCCTGTCTCAGCCGCCCTAGCGCTGGTGTTACAGGTGTGCACCACCATACCCGATTTCAGTGGCTGGTGCATTCCGGGGCCAGCACAACATGCGGTACCAGGGAACCAGGGTCCATGCATTTGCCAGGCAGGTGCTTAGACCGCCAAGCTATCTCCCCAGGCCCCAGAATCAGTTTTGACTACTGATAGAAAATCTAAAGCTCCATGAAAAAGATGGTAGGGTATTTAAGGTCCAAAGAACAGATGTACAGTATCAACACGCATCAGTGAGAACCAAGGAGTGACAGCTGGAAAGGCCCCCTGTCCATACTAGCACCATACCGCGTCTGCAAGCTAGACTGCAGGAAGGCCTCACGCCACGTCTGCCTAGACCCAGCAACAATCCTGGATCACTTCTTCAGAAATGTCGATGGGCCCTGCCCACGCCCTGCACCCCCAGCCTCAGCTCTTCATGGCTCATTCCTGCCACCCTTCTAGAGTGGCACCAGGTTCACACATCCTCCCAGGCCACCGCTCTAGGTGGGATGGGCAGACTCGGAGGCTTGTGGCCACTAAACTGGATTTGCTACAAGCAAGTGAACAACGAAGACCCAATACCCTATGGGGCAGTACAGCTAGAGGGCACTTGGAGAGGTTGGAGCTGGAGAAACACAGCGAGTTTGGGAGATGACACATGGCCAAGTGTGAGACTGTCACCTGCACCCCTGCCATGCACCTCGCTCACGACAGCACACACTGCACCGGGAAAGGGACAAAGTGCCAGGTCTCCTTATTGCGAAGTCTGTCCCTGAGCAGTGCTGGCTCATCAAGCTCAGTGGGGGAAGCCAGAGGTCTCAACCTTTCCCAGCCTTGTTGATAAGGACAAGGGCATCTCCAAGAATCTCTGCTTTGCACTCTTGTAAAAGGAGCTTGTCACAGCCCACTCACCACACTGATCCTCTTCAAAACAGAATACAGCCCCACCACGTCCCGTCTCCTGGCCAGGTCCTGGGGTCTCTCACCACTGATACAGTACCCGCCCTACCCTTCCCTGGCACCAACTAGCTGCTTCTCCTGGGTCCCCACATTTTTCTCTCCCTCATACAGCAGTGAAAGGGCAGCTTAGAAGGCCCAATTCCTCTCGAGCCAGCTGCTACCCACCCTCCATGCCTGGGCACCGATTCCCAACAGTCCCAGCACCTTTCCCTGGGCTGCACCTCTGGGCTGCTTTGCTTCTTGCTGCCACCTCCATCCTGGTAGGCACCCTCTGTTCCTTACTGGTGCCCAGCCTGGGGGGTGACTGAACAAGAAGCAGAGGGCGTGGAGGCTCCAGAGGCTCTGCGGTGCAGGCTGGCTGGTCCTGTTCCCAGTGCGCAGCCCACTGCAACTCCTGGAAGCTCTTTTCCTCAGCCCCGCTAGCTGATGGGAGTGGGAATCTCAGCAGGAATGCAGCCTGGGCTCCCTGGTCAGGCGCCGAGGCCACTCCACATAACTCCTTAACAAGCTGCTTCCTTGGGTACATTTTTCAGTGTCAGGCTCAGAATGCAAACAATTATAAGGCTTTGTAGAACAGCAGCATCTTCCAAGCACAGATGGCAAAGTAGACAAGTGAGAATTAACAGCCCCAGGAAGCAACAAGGCAGAACTTTCTCTTTGAACCATTCCATTTAAATTAGCAGGCAAAATCTCAGCCGCAGCAGCAGCCTCCATCCCACTTCCCAGGAGTCACGCCTGCTGTGGGCAGGAGTCCAGTGAGGTCCCCTGGGCCCCTCATTCAAGTCCACTGCTCATGGAAAGACCTAGGCTCTGGCCCCCGGGCATCAACCTCTAACGGAACAGAAGTCCGCTCCGGTCTGTGGTCACCAATATGGAGGTTTCACCTCCCACACTGCCTCATCATCACAGGCCCGAAACAAAGGTCCATTTGTCCTATGGATGGGAGGCGGACAAGAGCTGGAGGATCAGGCCGCAGTCAGAACGATCCTAAACCCACACAGCACAGGCTGAGCAAGATCTGGGAGGGCTCCCAGAGGCTAGTCATTTCCTTCTGTCTTTCATGGTCAGGTCCTTCGGCATGGGTGCTGAGGAGGGAAAAAGTGCCTTGGCGGCAATAATCTTTGTCTCCTCTCTCTCCTAGGAAAGAAACCCAAGGCCTTGCATAAGCTATGCAAGTGCTACCCCAACTTAGCTATACCTCACACCAGTTCCTAAGTTTTCTTTTGAGAGGATCTCACTAAGTTGCCCAGGATGGATTTAAATTTGGAATCTTCCTGTTTCAGCCTTCTGACTTGTGTGTGTGTGTGTGTGTGTGTGTGTGTGTGTGTGTGTGTCTGCCTCAGCCCACCCCAGGGACAGAGCTGGCACAGCATGTGGTGCCTAGGAGCAAACCACAGTCCCTGCGTGCTTTGCCTAAACTTGTCTGAACAGGCCTTTCAGACTGCTGAGCTATCTTGATGGCCCTGCTTCAGCTTTCTGAATAGCTGGGATTACAGCTTAGGCCCCCATACCTGGCTCTAATTATAGACACTAAAACCCTCTTCCGCCCCACCTTGAAAAACCAAATACACAAAATAGGTGTCACTCCCCTGCTTTCCCCTTGCCTTTTTTGTTCTTTCCCCTATTTCCTATACAGAGCCCTCCAATAATTCAGAAACTTAATGAGCCATTAGACAGGTCTTAACCCTAATACTCTGTATAGCCCTGACCTCTAGCTAGATCCCATCCATCCATCCACTCATCCATCCACCTTCCATCCATCATCCATCTATCCATCCATCCATCCATCCATCCATCCATCCATCAAGCAGCCAAGCTCTATGTTTTCTTGCCTTTTTTTGTAACCTACAGAAGTGAAAGAAAATCTCTAATGAGTAAGCGGTAGAAGTCCAGACACACTTGCCTCTTTCCCCTTCTCTCTAATGTGACCTAAGTGTGTCCAGGAGGCAGCTCTGCTGCTGAGGAAGCACTCAGAAAGTGCTTCTCACCAGACCCGGCCCCTAACAGAACCCTGAATCATTAGCTCTGGATGGGGAGGAATAGCTGACACCTTCTATCCCCTTTGCTCATTTCAGTTCAGTCACTGCAAGATGACAGCCCCTCCTGAGACTCTTGGGAGCACAGAGGGCTGTCCAGGCCCTGACAGAGGGCAGAAAGCAGTGAGGATCACAGTCCTGCAGATGCCTGCTGTGCTGGAGTGTGGCAGAAAACCACACCCTTCCTTGCCACTGCAGCCCTCGTTCTGTGCTTCTCAAAAGCCAAGGGCAGAAATGATACATGGCAATTTCTGCAAACTAGAGAAAAATGGACTGCATCCGCAGCAGAGGGTGAGGAGGATAGGACAGGGACAGGACCACAGCTGGCTCCTCACCCTCTTAGAGAAACTTATTCCACTTAGGGATGCAGCACAAGGGGCAAGACAGCACAGGAGCAGTTTGGATGCTTCTTAGACAGACGAGCCAGAGCAAGGAACAGGAGCTGTCTGGGGCAGGGCTGGGTTGGGGCATCTTCCTTAACTGCTTGCTCATTTGCAGATCTGTGGCTCTGATTCCCCCTTCCCCAGCTCTGCTTCAGTTCTGGGCAACCATGGCTTATAAAGCTGTCAATTCCCCAGTGGGAGGGGGTAAGGTCTCTCACTCCTAGTCCCCCTGCTGGGTTCAGTTTGCAAGGCTGCATACCAAATGTGCCATTGCTGGGAAGGCATGTCTCTGCAGGGCTGGCTGAACAGGGCTGCTGTCCACCAGAAACGCCAGCCCAGCAAGCTGTAAGGAGACAACTGGGAAAGTGATGGCTGAGGTCAAATGGGAGACCAGGAGGCCCTCTCTTCATAAGACTTCCACTTTCTGAGGATCTGGATGGTTCTCTCTGCAAGGGCCTCTTCCCTAACGTCCTCCACTCCAGACCTAAGATGGAGACAGAGTAAGACAGCTACTGGGGACAGGAGCAAGTAAGTACACCGCACACTGCTTTTCTTCCCTCAACGACCGGCCCTGAGATAGACTCTAAGCAGAATCAAAGACCCCACTCAAGATGAGAATAGAATTAAAATGAATGTTCAAAATGAGCCCAACCCACACTAGACCATCCATTTTTTTGTTGATCCTTAAAATCAAGTTTGTGGGGCTGGGAAGATGGCTCAGTAGAATAAGTGCTTGCCTGGCAAGCACAAGGGCCTGAGTTCAATCCCTGGTTCTGAAAAAAAAAAAAAGAAAAAAAAAAAGTCAAGTTTGTCACCATTGTACTACCCTGCTTGTGGAAGACAATTCTCTACGAGTAACTGCACTGTTATCCTTCCTCTGGTCCAAGAGGAATACACAGTTCTGGACTATACTGCCAAGGAAGTTTACACAGCAAACGGAAGACAGGGACGGTCTCTCCCTCCTGGGCAGAGGCACATTTGTTTCCTGACTAGAAAATGATAAAGATAATGTCTCCTTGTAAGACAAAGATGGCACAGGTTTGCTAGCAGCCTCTGAAAAGACTGGGGTCTCCTCAGCTTAGGATCCTTAGCTGGGCCACAAAGCCACTGCATCTCCCATCTGGGGCCACGTGGCCACATGACACCTCTGGACAAAGAAGCTAGTGGGTATATGGCATGAAGTGGAGTCTCGTCTCTTCTGCCAACATCTATGAAACTGGGCTGTGGAACTTGTTGGCTTGCACTAGAGACTGAACTCTGCCCCCTTAAAAGTCATTTGGGGAGGGCTGGAATGTAGCTCAATGGTAGAGCACTGGTATAGCACGTACAAGGCCCTGAGTTCCATCCTCAGCACAGCAAAAAGTAAAAGTGAAAATCTTATGGTGGAACCTAATCCCCAATGTGATAGCACTGGTAGGTTGGGGCCTTTAGGTCAAGAGGGCAGAGGCCCCCCGAATGGGATTACTGCTGCTGTAAAAGGGACCAGAGAATTCCTGTACCCCCCTCCCCAGCCACGTGAGGACACTGGGAGATGACGAATGTCTCCGGCTCAGGAAATGGGCCCTCCTCACCAGACAATCGGTCTGCCAGTGTCTTATTCTTAGCTCAATCCTAACAATAACCTTGGGAGTATTATTACTGCTAAGGGTGTTGTTCCTATTACCACATAATTATCATCATTGTACAAGGAAAAAGAAAAAAAAAAAGCCAAACCAGAGCTCCCATAATATTCAGTGATTTGCCTAAGGACAGATGGACACACACACACACAAATAAGGAGTGCCTGTTGGGCTCTCACGCTTTCTGAAAGTAAGAAAGCAGAGGTGTACTTTTCCCCTTTATGTGCTCTCAAGCCCTTTGGACTTCACCCAAGGGCTGGGCTTCATCACTCAGCTGCTCTCTTGCTAAGGTGCTTTGGGAGGCCCATGTCTAGCATGAGTTCCCCACGTGGGACCCCACCTGCCCAAATGGACAAGGCAAACCTGAGAGCACCGCCTTGGGCTTCTGTTCTGCAGCCCCAGAGATGCCCTCACCCACCACCGCTCTCCCCTGCTTACCCACAATGTCTTCGTAGGCATTCTCTTCTAAAGTGCTTTTGGATCCAAACTTGGGTTGGCTCTCAGTACCATTCTCAGTGGGAGAAGAGGGGTACAGGGACTGGAGACTGGACGCATCCTCAAACTCAAAGGATTTTCTGTGGATAACAAGAGCATGAGTCATTCTGCCTGCTGTTTTGCTACAGAACAGCGTGGTAGGCAACAGCAAAGACCAAAGGCCTATGTAAAGCAGGCTACTGAGAAAAAAAATCACAGTGGGTTCAAACTTACCATCCAAGTGAGGAGACAGATGGCCAGGAAGGCCCCAGCCCAGGCCCCTGCAATGAGTCTTATACCCAGTAATATCAGTATTATTACTACCACTCTCCTTATTACAACTGCCACAAAGCATGCTATATGCCGGGTGCTGTGTCCAATGCTCCTTTACATGTATCAGCTTCTGAACCTTCACAGCAGTGTGAGCAAGTACTGTGCCAGTCCACAGATGAACAGACCGGACTGACAGAGCCAGGACGCGCCCAGGCTGCCTGCCTCCAAGCCTGAGCTCTACATCACAACGCTGGCCTCCCAACCCTGGAAAATAGCCTTCTTGGGAGGAGTCTGCTGTTCCCACAGGACCGCTGGCCCCACCTCCTCACAAGGACTCTGCTACTGCAGTCAGGCAGAGAGGGCTCTACGCTGCACCACAAGGTCATGCCCAGGGCCACCACAGGAGCCAGGGGAAACAGCTGGCACAGGGCACCTTGTTGAAACAGGAAGAACAACGATCTGCAGAGGTGTCCCTCCCGCTGTCTGCCTGCTCCTTCCCATCCCCAGACAGCTTTTCCTCCACTGCAGAATTGCATCCACAGGTGGTAAGAGTCCAGAGGCCCAGCTCCCACTCCCTGAGCCTGCAGCACTGCTAGTCTGCTCCCCTCCTGGGAGCTAAGTCCTAGCAGTGTCCCCTCCTTCAAGGTTCCAGGCAGGAAGACGAGGAGGAGCACTGACAGAATCCCGCCCCTCATCCACGAATGCTTCCCTCTGCTAGCAATGCCCAATCTCTCCTGTTCACTGAACAGCTCCTCCTGAGGGTCCTGGCGCATGAGTCACCAACTGAAGATGTCCTAGAGGCCCTGTCACACTCTCAGCTTGCAGCATTCAACACAACAGAACACTCTACAGCTGGCACTCTCCTCCACTGCCTCCAGTTTTCAGCTACTTCTCTGGCAAACATGTTTCAGCCTCCTCTGAAGCACTCTCCTTTATCCAACTTGCCTTTTAAATGCCAGGGTCTCTCAGATGTCTGTCTTTGGGTTTCTCTGCTTTTTGGGTTTTTTTTTTTTAACTCTGAATTTCTAGGAACCAAATACCTGTGGGCCATCACCATCCCTACCACTTCTATTTTGATGACTCCAAAATTTGTCCCTGGCCAGGCTTCTCAGCTAGTCAAGTAAGTATACAATGGGTGAGAGCAGTGGTTCCCAAATGGTGTGAGACCAAATTTCACTGGTGCATACGGTACAGTCAACATCTTAGGCGGGTAGTTTTCAAGTCCACATATGAGGCCCATCATGTTCAGCCAAACTATCCTTGAAAATCCCCCAGGAAGATACAGTGCTGATGAACCACACACACTGCTACTCTTTAAGGCTAATATTGTCAGCTTTTTCACCCTTTTGGAGGGGGATACTAGGAACTGGACTGAGGCCTTTACGCTGGCTGTGCTACATGCCCAGCACTTTTCTTATATTTATTTTGAGACAGGATCTTGCTCAGTTACTGTGCTGGGCTCAATCTTATGATCTTCCTGTCTCAGTCTCCGAGAGTGCTAAGAATACAGACATGTACCTTCATGCCCAGCTTTCCCCACATTTTTCAACAGATTTCTTTTTCTCTGATTAAATACTGATTAAATCATTGGACTGCATTCTGAAAGAAAGAAAGAAAGAAAGAAAGAAAGAAAGAAAGAAAGAAAGAAAGAAAGAAAGAAAGCAAGCAGACAGAAAGAAAGAAGACAGACAGAAAGAAAGAAAAAGAAATTAGAATGATACCTGGCATAACAAGATAGAGACTTACCGCCTTACATCCCTCAGGGAACATGCTTGCCTCGTGGAAAGAGCAGCTCACTTTTTGAACTGTCATTCTTTTCTCAAAGAGCACAGACTGCAGTTGGTGAAGTGCCTACAGGAAGTGCCTGCACCATGCAAGGTCTGCATGCGTGTACACTACACGTAGACGTGACATGTGGGAACACGAGTAAACTCTGGTGGCTGAGGAATCCTGACCATCACTCCTTGTTACCTAGCTGGCTCTTTTTTGCTATTTTATTTTATTTATTTTGGCTGGCTTAGACCACCCTGAGGGAGGGGCTGGCGCAGCATGTGGTGCTGGGGATCAAACCACAGTCCCCTGCACCTGCCTAAGCTTACCTAAGCAGGTGCTTTAGACCTCTGAGCTATCTCACCAGTCTTGCTCTTATTTAGTTTAGCGATTCACGCCATAAAGGGCCTCCTCCAACACCCCTCTCCCCCGGGCCTAATGTAGATGACACTCCCCTGGGTCTCTGCAGCATCCACATGGACGCAGATCATGGCCTGTATTACAGCTTTGGTTTATCTGTGCACCAGATCGTGAAGTCCTTGAATGGAAGAACCATGTCTTAGTCACCTCTGGGTCCCTTTAACCAGCATACAGCTTGTGTATAGCAGGTTCTAGATGGGTATTTATAAAAATGGATGAATCAGGACAAAGCAAATGCTCTTGGCAGGCTGGTAAAGAATTAAAAAGCCAGTAAACGTTCTAGTGTGCTTAAAATGGGATTACCCTTAGCCACTGACTGTACTGGCTGCGGGGTCTGAACTTTTGATTGGTGCTCTTTGCACGTGGCAGGGGAAAGCTACATAGGACAGAGGATAAGTTGAATGAAGCCTGAAATATGGAAGAGACTGAAGAATCCCCAGAAGTGACACAAACGTGACTGCTCATACAACCCTGGGTTAAATGAGAAAGACAAAAGGGGGTAGGAGAATAGGTCTTGCGAAGGAAGCTGCCTTCCAGCCTACCCCACTTCAGAGAGCAGATGCATGGCAATTTTCACCAACTCCATAGACCCTTATAAATGATTCCGGGAAGATGACCCTGTATCCAGGATCAGAAATGCTGAGCCTGAGCTAGAGCAAATCAATGCGGGCCAGGAATGGAGCTTAGCAGCGAAGCACCTGCCTAGCAAGCATGAGGCCCAGAGTTCAATTCCCGGTACCAAAAAAGAAAACAGTAAAAATAAGACCAAACCAATGGCAGCCTAAAAGCGGGTGGTTCTTGGACATAGCCAGGAAGCTGGTGAAATATTCTTCCACTCTTATTTCTGCCAGTCTCTCGTTTTAGGATTTAACAACCCCCTCTTCAAACAGCCCCATGGCTTCCCTGATGTCTAGGAGGCCCTCAGAAGAGCAAGATCATACTAAATCTGTCAGCACTGTGGTATTAATGATAAAATGCAACATTCAAATTATACTTTCCTTGAAGACATTAACTTCTAATACCGGTACTTCAGACAGTAGTGAGGCTAAGATCCTACTAGTCCTGAAAAACTCAAAAATTACCTACTCAATCTATGAGTAAGGCAGCTCTGATCATCCCATGAAGGATTAAGAAAACATCAACAGGGCCTGAGACAGAGCCCAGCTTTACCCACAGACCAACCCCAGCTGGGCTTATAACCCAGCAGTGGGAAGAAGAGTTTTTACCTTCTCGTGCCTGTTCAAGTATCCTGCAAGAGCAAGAGGACCATTTTATTTTTCACAACAACCAAATTAATGATAATTTGGCACTTTAAAAGTACTAAGCACATCTTAGTACTTCTTAGCACTCCTGTGACCCATGCTACAATCAGATTTTGCAACCTTCCTTAAAAGAAAGGCACCATGCCCCACGGCAAGACACAGGAGGGCATGCATTACCTGCTCTGGGACTTGCGGTGACCACGTATGTCCTTCTTGAGTCTCCGGGTGACTGGTGGGGCCGGGGTTGAGGGCAAGGGGGGTGGAGCAGCAGGTGTGGGCGAAGGAGGTAGACCATTGCTTGGCTTACTCTTGGGGTTCTTGTCAGCCTCATATTCAAAGGTACGCTTGGGTTTGGGAACAGGATTCACAGCGGGATCAGGGGAGCCCTTGGACAGCAGCAGCTGGGAGCTAGCACTGTTTCCGGGGGACCCTGGCTTCATGGGGCCACTGCCTTCCCTCTCCAGGGACAGGCCTGCCTCCCCTCCACGGCCAGCAACTCCTACGGCCCGGCTGCCAGCGCTCACACCCATACTGCCTGCTGGCTCCTCCACGGTGCCCAAGACGCCAGTCTTCCTTCTCCCATGGTCTACACTGTAGCAGCTACTGGGTAGCTGGGGGAGGCCACCCCCTGGTTGCTCCTTCAGGGCCTGTTCAATTTTCTGGATCCGGCTCAGCACTGCTGAGCTCTCTTTCCTGCTGCTATGCCCCCTGAGGAAGGCACTGGGCTCACCCCGGCCTGACCGCCTCTCTAGCCGGTAGAAAGAGTCCCGGACAGGAAGTGCCTCTCCCTCCTCCTCGGTCTCAGGGTAGGAACACTCAGAGAAGGTCCTGCTCATCCTCCGGAGGCCCTTGAAATCAAAGGTCTTGTCTGAGCTGCAGGGGGATGGCACCACGCTGGGGCAGCCCACGCTGGGGCAGCCCTCACTGATGGCACGCTCCACCCCAGAGCCCTCCCGCTTCTCTCCACACAGGCTCATCTTGGGTGAAGTCTCTCGGCGACCTTCCCATGCTGAAATCTTCTCTCGGATGCCCAGGCTGTGGGCACGGGTACCAGAGCAGGTCAGCAAAACACTGCGCAGACCAGCCACTGGCCCGAGGAGCGGGGTGCTCTGGGCAAGGGGGAGGCCAGCGGCTACTCCGTCTACATCCTGAGCTGCACCCTGGACATTTTCGTTCTGGTCCTCTCTCTTGCACACTGAAGGGCTTCTGTCCAAATAACCAAAGCTGGTGGCCTTGAGGGGACAGATGGGTGGTGATGTATCTGGGGAGGGATCGTGAGGATTTGGGGGTGAAAGATCACGGGAACGCCAGTCCTTGAGGAGCACTCGGGAGCTGGAGTGGCTGGGGTACCTGCAGGCTGAGGCTTCACTATCACTGAGGGGGTAGATGGGACTCCTCGGGGGGGACAGAACTGGAGGTGGAGAGACTGACTGAGACCTAGGAGCAAAAGAGAAAAGAAGGAAAATCAAATGGTGGTGAGTGATCTAACAACCAGAAGCATCATGCTTTATTCTCAGAAAACTTAATGTCTCTTTCCGATAATATTCTCCAAGTTAAAAGTACTCTGTCTGTGTTTTGTACCTCCAAGGCAGAGTTCAAAGGCAGAAACAGCACGTTGGCCACAGCAGCCCAGGCTCAGGGCCCCTCTGCTCAGCTCAGTGCCAGAGACCCTGAGTAGTTCCTGGAGCAGAAGCCTCTTCTTGACAGGATGTAGTATCTTAAGAGTCTAAGAGGTGTGCTCAAAAAATACAGTGCATGTTTACATTTTTTAAAAAATTATTACAGTAAAAGGTACACTGGCATTAACTCTCACCCCCAAACCTTGGCACACAATGACCCCTTCCTTCTAGCCACTTTCTGGTATAGTTTTAGAAGACCTTCTCATGAGTGTCTCAGTTGAGCAATCACGGCTGCCTTCATATCCTGAATTGACTCAGAAGTTTTACCTTTCATGGTCAGTGGGAATCTGGGGAAGTGCCAGACGTTCCACGGCGCCAGATCTGGTGAACAAGGTGGATGAGGACACACTGTAATGTTTTCACAAGTCTGTCTGTCTTTTAGATGGCACTCAACAGTTGCATGCACTGTACTTTCTATGGTACCCCTATAGACACTCACAAAAGAGGACTTCAAGAACTGCTTCAGAAATTAACAAGAACAACAGGGTAAGTGTGTTAGGGGTGGGGGTATTTTGAAAGGATTAATGACAAAGTGTCTTTTACTTTTAATAATTTCAAAAAAATATTTGGGGCCAGCATGCTAGCTCAGCAGTCTAAAGCACCTGCTTAGGCAAGCTTAGGCAAACACAGGGACTGTGGTTTGATCCCCGGCACCACATGCCACACCAGCCTCACCCAGTGCAGGCTGAGCCGGCCAAAAATAAATAAATAAAAATTAAACATTTACTGTATTTTCTGATGATTTGTTGTATGTCTGCCGACAAAAGAACAGTTGGAATGACAGCGTGCTCCTAAATGCCTGACAACTGGCTCTCTGGAGCAAAAAGCAGAGCCTGACAGTGTTGCCCACTTGCCCATTTCTACTGTGCCTGAGACAGCAATGTGGTGTCACTGAAAGCAGAAGTTGGGAAGCGATGTTAGTGGTCAACCCTTATGAGCGTCCTGAAGTGACCTCAGGAAGACATATGCACCATTTCTTTGAGTTTTCCTCTTAATCACCCCCTCTCGCTCCAAAGACAGTTCCACTGGATACAGAACCCACTTCTTCAGCTTGGGTACTGGCCAGAATTCAGATCTCCAAAGGTCTCAAAAAGGGTAGGAGGGCTCAAGAAAGAGGGCTCTGCCCTCTATCCATGAGGAGACCAGTAGTGCCGGGACACCGACTCCTAAGCATCTCCACAATACCATAAATATCATATCCAACAAGCTCCAAATCCACACACAGATCTCAGGAAATACCAGGAACTGCTCTCAATAAATGGTCCTACATATATTAATTCATTTAATCATCACGTAAATTCTGTAGGATTATCAAGTATTGTTATTTTTATCTTACAAATGAAAGACACTGACGCACAGAAAGGTGAAATGGCTCAACCAAGGTCATTCAGATGCTAAGTGGTGAAGCCAGTACATGGACTTACACTACACCATGCTGCCTCTATAACAAGCAAGCAGTAACATCTGCCAACTCTGCGGATCCTCAGGACCCCAACTATAGCTCAGCAGAAACGCCTGGCACCAGGCACCGCCCAGTCTAGACCACAGTGCTGGGAATCTCTCCATATTCCCTGCCAGATGCTTTCTTCTAAGTCGAGGCACACGTGGTTAGTGTCTGGAAGGTGCTCAATGAATAATGAATCAGAGAGAAAAAAGTGAAGGTAAGTGAGCTCACCAGAGAAAACCATGAACAAACTTTCTCTTCGGCATGCTTTTCTGGTTGTTTACTATGATGATCATTACCAACTTTAAGAATCCAGTCCAAACAGTTTTAAAGACAGCAGCAGGATTTTGCCAGTAATGCATCCTGCAAGAGGCTACAGCCCTGAACACTGGACCGTCCAGCCTCACAGGCCCCACAGTGCCATGTCACCCACAGGATGGCAGCCAGCTGCCCCGGAGCCACACTGCTGTCACTGCTCACTCACACACAGAAAACTGGAGCTCTAGTGAGTCAGAGATTGGCCAACAGTTCCCTTTTGGGTCACAGCCTCTGGCTGCCCTGATCAACAGGAAACCTCAACATGCTTAAGTTGTTTTTAAAAGGGCAAATCAAATAAGAGTTGTCCCACGTGTACATGGGCAAAGGCGAGAGAAATTCAGTGCCTGGCCAAGCCAAGACCAGAGAAAGAGACTGCTCCAAGAGGAAGTGTGAATAGAGTAAGCCTCAACCTCCCTGGAGCAGGCAGTGGCAGGGCATGCACCATCTGGATCCAGTCCTTGCTGTTCCCCTAGCCTTCATTTCCTTTTGTCCAACAAGAACTTTTGGGCAGTTTCTGACTTAGTCGCAGTCAACAGCAGACGTGGGGCTCTCTGATTTATTTTATAGAACCGTAGGTGCAAAGGTTAGTCTAGGCCTTAAGCAAATGAATACTTGGATCCACCAAGAACTGCAATTTAGTTTTTCTGTAATGGAGGAGAGAGAAGGTGCCTTTATCAGCCTCTATTCCCAGGGTAAGGAAAGGATCAGTATAATCTGCTGCCTTCAGCAGAAAGGCTTAAGCAGGGCCAAAATGGGGGCCAGGCATCATTATGTATGATTTTTTGTGACAGACAGTTTATATGCTGGTAGCACCTGCTGCCATGGGTGAGAGGGGCTGCCCACTCTTTTTTTTAAAGTTTTTTTTTCTATTTTATTTTTTTGATACCACTATGCAGTAGTTATCCTCCTGTCTCAGCCTCCCCAGTGCTGGGATTACAGGCTTACATCAACTTGCCTGTTTTCCAGGCTGGCACAGCACGCCTGAGGTTCTGGGGCCTGCAGATCATGTGGTACTGGGGATCGGATTCCGGTCCTCACATTTGGCAGGCAGGTGCTTAGACTGCCGAGCTATCTCCCCCGCCCAGGATGCCCACTCTTGAGCTTCAGTTTCACTCCCTCTTATTGTTTCTTAGTCCTCAAACCGAGACTCAAACAGCATGATAGTAACACCATTTCCGGCTGTTGGACAAAAGGAAGCGAAGGCTGGGAGAACAGCAAGGACTGGATCCAGATGGTCACGGGAAGCCAGCCACCCAAGCAAACCCATCTTTTGTGTCTGGTCTTCTATTCTGCTACTGACAGTCCAGTTTCACTTCTTGGGGGTTCCCAGGACAGCCCCTTGACAAGCTCTGAACCTGAACCAAGGAACAAAGGAAGCCATGTATCACCCCGACCAGTGTGTCAGCTCCACTAAGCTGGAGACACATCTCCACCCCTCAGCCATTCAATAAATACATACTGAGCACCAAGTGTGTTCCAAATACAGTATCATTCTAGGCCTTAAGGATCAGCAGACTAAAAACAGTCTCTTTTTCTATAGTTCGCAGTTCAGTGGAGGAAGATGGGGTTGCTTTATTTGCTTAGAGTAGGTAAGAAACAAACCAACCCTGTGAGATGGTTATGAGGCCTATACAGGATAAAGAATAGGAAAAGGGTAATAGATAGATAGATAGATAGATAGATAGATAGATAGATAGATAGATAGACAGACAGACAGACAGATGTATTTTAGTACAGGGTCTACAGGGTCTCACTACATGGATCAGACTCATAGTGATCCTCCTGTTTTCAGCCTCCTAAGCACTGGGATTCCAGGCGTGTGCCACCACGCCCAGTCTGAAAAAGGGTAAAATATTAACAGTGAGAGTGAGTAACCATTTTATACACAGAGGCCAGGGAAGGCCCTTCTGGCGGGGGAACGTATGAACCTAACCCAAAGGAAGTGAGCAGTTTGTTTAACCAAGGGCAGAAGGTTCAGGGCACAAAAGGAACAGGGAAAACGCTCAGAACAAAGTAGCCAGGGGCAACAAGGAGGGCAGTGTAGCCAGAATGGAGAAGAGGAAGAGTAGGTTGAAGATTAGTCAGAAAGGCATCAAGGCCACATCGTGGAGGAGCCCATGAGCTACTGGGAAGACTTGGGCTTCCACACTGCAAGAGAAAAAGCTCTAGGAGGGTGTGAGAGAAGAGTGACATGACCTGACCATCACAGAATGAGTGTAAGGGGGCAAGGAAAGTAACACAACTGGGAAGATAGCTCAGAGGTCTAAGCGCCTGTCTCGCAAGCGCAAGGGCCCAAGTTTGATCCCTGGTACTGCATGCCGTACCAGCCTTGGAAACCCACGTACACCATGCTAGCCCCAGAACCACGTTTGGTGGCACAGGTCTGTAATCCCAGCACAGGGGAGGCTGAGACAGGAGGATGACTATGAGTCTGAGCTGCATAGCAAAACCCTATATCAAGTAAACAAACAAATAAATAAGGAAGGAAGGAAGGAAGGAAGGAAGGAAGGAAGGTAGCACTGCAGCTATTTGGAGGCCAAAGTAACAGCCCAGACCAGAGATTATGATTGGTTATCACAGTAGCCATAGAGAAGGAGTTATTTTGAGAGTTGGGCCAATAGGATTTGTTGACGGTCTGGATGAAGAGTGTGAGAGACCAAAGAGAAGTCAAAGACGACATGAAGATTTTTGGCCTGAGCACTTTGGTGAAACAGAGCTCAGACTATACACTTCAACTGGGAAGTAATTAGTAGTATACAGATATTACTTTAAACTATCTGAACTGTACAAGATCATCAAGGGTACACCCAGTCAGAGAAATCCAATGACTGATTCCTGGGATTTTCAGAGTTCTGAGGTCAGGATGAGTAACAGGAACTAGTTAAGGTGATTAAGAGGGGCATTTGGTAAGGAAAGAAGAAAACTGTGAAGTAATATCCTGAGAGCTTGAAGAACTAGGTCTGACCTGCCAACAACCCAGCAAGAGAAATGATCAT